TAATATTTATTTATACTATAAGTAATTATTAAAACTTAAAGATAAATATTATTCCTCTATCTAATATAATTTTATTAGATAATCTATAGTAACTAACTATATATTATAAAAACTAATATATAAGATCTTCTGTAGAGTTTACTTTCTTATATAGAATAAAATATTTATATTTTATAAGTCTATTAATAACTATTAGAATACTATTATATTCTATCTTAGTTATAGATTCTTTTAATAATAATAGTTTAATAATATAATTAAAGAATACTAATTACTAGGGTTATTCTAATATTAAAACTAGTTTAAGTTCTCTATAGGGTTTATATTATATAGACTTAATTTTTATATAAATATTATATTCTAAAACTATAGTCTATATATTCTTTTATAGATCTAGGTAATTATAATATTATCTAATTCTTTTAAATATTTTCTTAATTCTTTAGTATTTTAAGAGTAGGTATTTATAGATTTTTTTAATAAGTACTATCCTAGTATTCTACTATAGCTTTCCTAAGCTAGAAATAATCTCTATCTAGACTTTAGTATATACTATTTCCTTAAGTATTACTCCTAGGGTTTTCTATACTAAGTATTCTTTATTATTAGTTAAGAATAGCTATCTATTTATCTTTAGAATTACTTTCTTATATTTAGGCTTTTAGCTAAGAGTATTAGCTTTTCTATTTTCTAATCCTTTTTAATATATAATTTTATAATTAAATTAAGATAGATATTTAGTATAGTATATTTATCTTCTATTTAGTTATTAGATTATAATAAAATACTAAATATTTTTATAGTCTGTATATACTCTAATCTTATATATTATTCCTAAGTAGTAGTATTTAAATTCTTTAAATATATATATAATAGCTATAAATTCTTTATTATAGATAGAGTAATTAAGTTTTATACTATATAGTTTTTTTAAAAAGAATACTATAGGATATAATACTCTATTATTATTTCTTTAGCTAATTTATATACTAATTATAAAGTCTAAGATATTTATTTTAAATTCTACTTTCCTTATTAGATTAAATATCTATAGTATAAGTTCTAAGAGTATTTAGTTTTTTATTTTATTAAGTATTTATTACTATTTATTATTCTATTAGAATTCTATTCTCTTTTTAGTAATATTATATAGAGATATAGTAATTTTTCTATAGTTCTTAATAAATTATTAATAGTAATTAGTAAATCTAAGAAAAGCTTATACTTTCTTAATAGTTTTAAGTACTTTCTATTCTTTAATTATAATAATCTTATCTTATTCTATTTATATTTTATTTAATTAAATAGTATATCTTAAAAAGTTAACTTCTTATATATAGAAAAAACTTTTTTCTAGTTCTATAAGAAGTTTTACTTCTTCTAATTTTTCTAAGACTTAGTATATATACTCTTTATATATTTCCAGATTATTAGAGAAAATTAAGATATTATTAAAATAGATAACTATAAAGATATTAAGATACTTCTAGAGTACTTAATTAATTATTTATTAGAATATTATAGATATATTTATTAGTCTAAAGAGTATAATAAGGTATTTATAAAAGCTAAACTTTATTCTAAATACTATTTTCTATTTATTTTCTTCTTTAATTTATATTAGATTATAAGCTCTTTTTAGATCTAGTATAGTAAACTACTATTTACTCTATAACTAATTCCTAAGTTTAGTAATTAGTAGTAAGAGTATTCTATCTTTTTATATAATCTTATTTAGTTATTAATAATTAATAACTAAATAGAGTTTATTATTCTTTTTTAGTATAAATATTATAAAGTATTCTATAGATAAAGTTAATAGTTATATATAGTCTTTTACTAATATATTATTAATATATTTACAGAGTATTTATAACTAAGGTTCTATAAGGTTATATAATTTATAGAAATTAGATTCTTCTTCTTTAATAATAGAGATTTTATAATCCTACTAGCTATATTCTAATAGCTCTATTTTAAGTTTTTCTATAAATAATATCTTCTTAAAATAGTTATATTTCTATAGAATATTCTTAAGATATTCTTTCTATCTTAGGTATTTAGCTTATTTATACTTATACTAAGTATTCTTTTTCTTATTTTATTATACTCTTTATTAATTATTTATTTAGCTCTATTCCTAAACTCCTATACTAAATAGTTTTAGAAATAGTTTTTCTATTTTCTTTTACTATTAACTATATTTAATTTTATATTTTTATTATTATTCTTTTATTAATTATTTCTAATTAATAGGTACTAAATCTATATCTAAAGATAGTTTTTACTTCTATATCTAATCTAAGACTTATATTATTTATCTTAGTTCTTATTATAATAGATTTCTTATATTACTAGATTAT